AGCAGCACCAAGAAGAGCCCTTTTGAAGTAGAGAGAGGATTTTGTCCTAGGCTTCCCAGGGACAAATTTTGCAGTAGGGATGTGGATATTCACCCTACCTTGCTAAGTTTTGCCACAATGCTGAACAGAGCAAGGGAATATGCTACTAAGTGTGTCAGAGAGTCAGTAGAGTACAACAAAGAGAGATGGGATAAGTCACATAGAGAACCTGAATTTTCTGTTGGAGAACAAGTACTGCTTTCCACTGTTAATTTCAATAATATTCAGGGACCAAAGAAATTGAGAGATCAATTTGTAGGCCCTTTTGTGATATCAAAACTAGTTGGCACGAATGCAGTGGAACTGATATTGCACGGCGAGTTAGAAAGGAGGCATCCTGTTTTTCCAGTTTCCCTTATTAAGAAGTACACTCCCCCTGAAGCTAGTGATATTCGACAAACAAGGACGGTACCAGTAGTAGTCATACCTCCGTATGAGCCAGAAGGAGAGAAGAAATTTTTGAAGATACTCAAAGATAAACGGGTTAAGGATAAGGATGGTAAGGATACCATCTTATACCTAGTCAGATATAAAGGTAAAGGAGCAGATGGGGATGAATGGCTCCCAGGAGATAAAGTACCTAACTCAAAAGTGACTCTTAGAGCTTTTCGAGCAGCTAAGAGAGATGCAGCAGTTCAGTAGAAGGATAACCTTCTCTGGTGGTGGGGAATGTCAGCCCTGAGCCCTGTGTACAGGACCACGGACTAACAAACACACATGTAAATATATGTAATACATATGTAATTATACGAAACTTGTCTAAAACCATAAGAATTACAACTCATGGCTCAGTTTCAAGAGTCACTTAAGTAACAAGACTTACTAGGACTTAACTAGTAATAGTAAACCTAACCCAAACCTAACCCAAACCTAACTCAAAGAAAAGCAAACCTAAGCGCCAACCACAAGTTGACGCCTAGATCTGGAATATATAAACTCTTCTTCTTCCCACTCTAGAAGAAGAACCAACTGATTATCATTCCACAATTCTACATCACAACTTACTTGATTCTTACCAAGAATATTGAGTATAGTGATTTTATTGTACTTGATCTTATAGTTCTACAACCTTCCTCAAGCCCTTGTGAGCTTTAAAGTGGTGGTTCCAAACTAGTGGGACTATATAGTTATAGAACCAAGCTTTAGATTTGCATAGGATACCTCCTGAGTTGAGTGTAAAGTATCCGGCGGAACCTTTGAGCAATCAGAGTGTAAAGTTCTGCAGGCTCTATCCCCAACAGAGCTCTTGAGTAAGCTCCTTTGAAGGATTACTCAGCCATCCCACTGGCTTTAAACCCTCGTCTTAGAGGTCAACTAACTGAAGTCTTTACTTGTTTATACCAAGTAAAGACTTTGTTAATCCTTATTCCACCCTTACTTCACCTTTTTTAGTGAAGAGTCAGCCAAAAAGTAGCTGACCCCTCACAGTGGATGTTGTGCAGCATTGAGGGGTGATCTGTTGATCTGCGATATCTGTTAAAAACCAGGTGTTTGTGGAATAGGATGTGAATGGCTTTAGGGAGTGGTTTAAAGCTTGATTGTGTGATTTGTTCCAATTTTAGGTGGGTTTTGAGCTTATTGAAGATTAAGCTGTGTATGGTTTGCACAGAGGGCTTGATTGATGATGAACCTAGATTTGTAACCTTAAGCTGTTGGGTGTGATGGTTGAACTCTTGCAGTTTGTCAAGTTGATCAAAGGATTTGGTGCTCTTGGATATTGTAGTTTCATGTGAGTCATGATGAATAGTGGATTCTTCAATAATATCATTGAGGTGTTCCCATTGTCAATATCAGATGTTAGCTTTGTTGCAATTGACTTCTTAGGTCCAATCAAAGAGGATCAAGGTGTTTGAATTGGAGTGAACGGTGATAAAGGAGGTCTTGAGGTGATATTGAAAGCAGAAGACTTGTCTTCATTGAATTTGTATTCAGACTCCGAGCTTAGGGATGATTTTGAGATGCTGAGATTGGGGATCAGCAAGCATGAATACAATCACTTTGGGTATTTGGGAGGTCTGCACTGTGTGAAGCAATGTCTCTGTGCCTTCCACCACCAGAATTGAAGAGGTTCTTGGATGGGAAAATGGGTCCTAGGAACCAGTCAACTCCTATAGCATGGTGGGACTGTGGGGCTCATACTTTAGGCAAGAAGACAGGTATCAGTCCCATTTTCTAAATACCTAGAGGCATTGGATAGGCTAGGTTGTTTCTGCAGGGAAAGAAGACAATCTCCTTTTGTTGCTTGTAACCAAATCTCTAGACAGAGAAAATGCTACAAGTTTTTAGTACAGGCACAGACAGTGGTGTGAGGGTGGAGCTTTGAGAGGTAGACAAGAGGAGAAAAGAATAAATCCAAACTGAAAGTGCCAGAAAAAGGAACAAGAAGACAGGGGCTTCTCTCCCAGGGTGTAGGGCAGGGATTTTTAAAAATAAAAAATTAACCTCAATTTAAGGTCAGTGAGCTAACTGAGAATTGAGAGAGAGACAGAGAGAGAAGAGAAGAGTATATAATTCTAATACAAAAGACAAGAGAAAAGAAGAAAAGAAAGCTGAAGAACAGGAAGAAAAATTGATCCACATCATCAGATGTATTTCTGTTCTTCAGGGACCTCACCAGCCAACCAAAAGAAATGGCTTAGTCAGAAACCTAACACTGCTGTAGTCTGAATCAACCACCCTGCCATTGAGATATGGAATAAAGATCACCATTGCAGGCTTGGGGGCAATCTAACATATTCCCCTTCTGCTACTGTTAAACAGCTTCATGCATATTTCTCACATAGCCATTGTGATATATGTAGTTGATTTTCTAAAATGCTTATCTCAATCTGAACAAAGTTACAGAATGTATTACATATTATTTGCTTATCTGGATGACCAGATAACTGAGGGGAACTGTATGTAGCTGATAGCTGAGGATTCACTCAGATGTTTGCACATATGTAGCATGCGCTGTATGGCTCAGATACACAGTGCAAGATGATTTGATGACCCATGATGCTCTCAATCATGTTCCCACCAAGGAACCTATTTAATGTTGATAGTGTTCTGAGGCCTCTTTGGTGGTATAGTCAACCAATTGAAGTCCAATTTGTTGAGAGACACCTTCTGTCTTTCATATTCTTAATTTTCAGCTGTTGTGAAAGATGATGCACAAGCCATTACACACAAGACTCTTAAGTATAATCAAAGTTTAATATTAACAGTGTAAACTTAAACCCTAGAGATCCTTTATCTAGTTCACTCCCCCACAACGCGCGTAAAACTCTTTTCCTCATCCGTTTGTATATGGGAGGAAAAGAGTAAGTCAAATCCCTCATATTATCAACATACCTCATTTCCACTATTCATACAATACATTCCTTTAGACTTTCTCATTCTTCTTCTATTTTCAACTCAGTTCAAACTTACTAATTGTCAATTTTCTCATCATTGAATTGTTTCATCTAATTATACATCAACGCTAGATCTACATACTAAAACTTGCGTGTTGATTCTTTTATTCCATTTTTATCTTTTACCTGAAACCAAATAGGTTAGTTCAGGTAGTTAGTGACGTGAGGTGAATAAAGTCTCACCTTTAGAAATTGTCACAGTTCATCAGTATCAGGTATCTCAACGGACTTTGTCACTTTTCACAATTCTGAGTTAAAGCCAAGTAAGTATGAGTTGAGTTAATGAGATGAAGGTGTTGATACAATTTGATTAGCTGTTGTGTGGTTTAATCAGACCAATCCATTTATCCATTTCTCATCTTTCTTTTAGAAAGGCACTGTCTTTACCTTGTATTCCAGCATGGATAAGGTATAGTGCTGTGTGGGCTAAAGGTCTTCTTGAAACCTGGAGGTCACAAGTAGGGCCAGTCTTAAGGCATCCACTTTCTGTGTTATCTCCATGGAGTTCTTTTTTCTTTTCTTTCCCTCATTGTTTTGATACAGAAGCAGAGCTGCCTTAGAAAGATGTGAGCAGGAGAGCCAGAGTCTCCCTAACTAGCAAAATAAATCCCTTCTAGAAATACAGCACATTTCAGGTAGGATTGTAGGGAGGGTGGGACGGCACAAAAAATTATTATATTTCAAGGAAATTAGATAAACTTAGGATCATCAATGATGATAAGACTGAAGGTAGCAGAAACTTGAAAACTGAAGACAAGGATATGGGCAAAAGGTTAAGAATCAAGAGAGGGGCTATAGCAAGCTCTATATACTTTCTTCTTCATTCACTCCTTGGTATTGCAGTGGGTATGAAATCTGCCATGTCACTTCCCTCCTCATCTGAATATCTCAGCCTGATTTTCATAAGGCCACTTTGGGTCAAAATATATCTGAATCTGATGTCTGTTCTGGTTGTTTTCTACCTACTTGAGTGAGGTCTGTCATCATGGACTTACCTCACATTTTGCACCTTGCATAGAGGTTAATGATGGCTCTCAAATTGCTGAAACCAATCAAAAGTCACAAGGAAATTTTGGCTTTAGTCTTGTCAAGCTTCCAGAAACCTTGTTGTTATGATCCTGATAGATAGATAGTTGAGTTGATGAGTCAATGGGTTGATGAATGTCCATAAGGCAGGTAATGAATCAATCAAGACATATGTCACAGGCATACAGCAGTTCTTTTTGGTATTTGAAATTTGGCTTGGACCACTGAAAGCAAAAAAAAGATCTAGCACTTGTTGGGTCTTGCTGTCTTGCACTATACAAGGAAGGGGGATGGTAAACTTGTTCATAGAATAATTGTAAATAGTTTCATCATGTAAAGCTTCTGCACTCTATCTATACACTTATTCACCTTGAGCAATTTAGTCAGTGAAAATATTCATAAGAAATAAAAAAGAAAATTTGATTGGTTCTTGATCAAGAATAAAAAAAACGAGACAATAATTGAAACACAGTAGATACAATGTAGGATATTCTACTATGTAACCAAATTGGGATACAATGAAAATGTAGAGGAATTGATATAAAAAGCAAGATTGAAGAAGTTTATATGTTGAAGCTTGATGGGTTCTGAATCTTATTCAAGTTTTATGAAATCGAGTATTATAACTAGAAACCTCACAAGAAGGTTCAATCCTTTCTTTGAAATTTACAAATCTCAAATTATTAGTTTGATTAACTTGTTGATTATCAGTGGAAGTAATAGTAGAAGAAGAATGTTGATAAACGTTTTGAATTCTTTTGGAAAAAAATTCTAATGCAGTTGGTCTAGAAATTGTACCTTTTAATGTTTTGGGTAATGGATTTGAATTTGAATTTGTTATGATGATTGACTTTTTGATGATTTTGTGTGGGTTTGGAATTGATTGATTTACTACTTGGATTAAAGGCCTGTAGTAGTCACACAAAGATACACTCAAGATTAGTCATTCATTGTTATTAAAATCTTTAAACGTTCTCTTTTTCGAAGAAGGGATGAGTGATCTTACCAAATAAGTTCGATAAACTGAGAATTATTCATCGGATTCTTATTTATTTGATCATCATCAATTTCAATGATCGCTCCAATTCTTGGTTTACCTTCACCAAAGAGAAGTGCACTTTTGATTACTGGATCACTTGTCAAGATAGCTTCCAATGCCGCCCTGTATAATAAAAATTCAATTTAAATCAGAAAATAGTCTTTTTGAGGGTTCTGGATTGAGTATTTTTGTTGTATCTTACGGATTTATTTTTACTGAATTGTTGAGAGTGATTTGATCGTTTAGACGACCTACCACTCGATATAATGGTAAACTTGAATGTTTTGATAATAAGTCTCTTGTATGATAGATTTGAGGACTGAAATCATCATTTATGGTTAATGAACACCGATGTTGATCAGAAGACTATTAAAAAGTAACCCAACATCAAATCATTCATCAAAAATCTAATCAGTCCTGAATATTCAAAAGGTTTGTATCTTACTAGTATGTCAAGTTCAAATACATTTTCATCATGTTGTTTCATTTGAGTTTTGATTTGTGAAGATAACTCAAAATATTCCCAATTGGATCCAAGAGGATGTTTAGAAAATAATTTAGCTATAGCTCCTACTTCAGTTCTATCAAGGGAGAATTTCATTTGATCAGAATAACAAGGTTGAATATCTATTGCGGTTATCTTTTCGAGACTAGGATTCACTTACGCTCCATACATGTTACTTAATTTAATCCCTTTTTGATTTAATTGATTTCCGATTTCTTTCGATAATGGTTTACCACCAAATGCAACTCTTTGATTACTTTTAAGATAATCAACCATTTCTGAATCCCTTGACCATTCCTATTGATAAGAGAATTTTCAGAGATTCATCAAGGAAAAAAGATAAAGGATGAAGAGAAGGAAAACACAATTGGACTGACTGTTAGCATCAGTGGACTGAAGACTGTGACTGTACATCCTACTTTTCTCATCGCTCTCATCTTGCTTTTTGAATCTAAAGTTCTAAGTCTCGAACGACCATTGGGTCCAAGTTCAGGTCTATAAAAAGCAGATACAGCGCCTTGTGAAAGTGAATAATCCAATCCGACATGTGCTCCCATGTTATGATAAGGTGGTAAGGTCATTGCTGAAATTAGTTGTTCTGACCAAGGGAAATCAGTATGAAGTCCAGAGGTGAGAAGAGCATGGAAGCCGAGTCGATTGATTGGTACAAGTTTTGGAAACCCTGTGGTACCTGATGTATGGTAATAGATAATGGGTGTGTGAACGTGACGAGGTTGATTTGATGATGAGATTTTGATCGATTGATCTGGAATTGATGGATTGGTCTCGTATGAAGTCGATTTGAACAATCTAGGGAAAAGTTGAAATGTGTCTAGACACTCAAGTAAATTAATGGAGTGATCAGGTAATAAAATCCTTATCACTTCTTCCATTTGATTTTTTGCAAGTTTTTCAATCTCGTCTAGGTTTTGTATGGAAAGCTTCGGGTTATATTGAACAAGGACATTTTTACAACCACTATGATGAAGTAAATGAGCAATAGCTTCAGGTGAGTTGAGTGGTGAAATCACAAAAGGCTACTCTCAAGTACGTAATGAGAGAAGTCAAAATCAATGCCTACTTCTTCAATTGAGCAAAAATCAAAATATGTGCAATTTGACTTACGATCAAACCTGATTTAATTATTCCTAAAAGTAAAGTAAAATGTGATAATGGCTCATCTGATGAGATGATACCAACAATCTCTGGTGTTGAAGTTGAAGAACGTTTGATATTTTGAGAAAGTTGTTCTACTACTTTAAGAATCCCATTTCCAATTTCATTCCAAGTGATCAAATCTTTAAAACTAGGTTCAATTTTTTCTTCATCAGATAGAATCCCAAAAGGATAATTCGAATTATGGATCAAATGAAAATCGATAAGTTGATCTAGATTAAATTCTTCAAGACTTATTTCAGGTGATTTGAAAGTTGGATAAGTTGATCGAACTTGATCGAAGAATGAGATGGGATTCGTGGAAGACATCTTAACTAAAAAGTTTATATAGTACAACCAAAAGAAAGTTTTGGGAATGAAGGCCATCTTTCCTATTTATTATTGGAGCCTTAATAAACTTTTATGGGGCAGACTTATTTGGTTTATCTTGATCATAAACGGTGGATTCCGGCACAAGGGCAGTGGTGTTCTACCGTACATACGATCATCGGCAAATGTGATCTTTTTATCGGCGGCATCGAGAGTAGAACTCTTCGGCATATAGTTTTCGATCGGTGTTTGGGAATGCCATGTGGGATACAAAACGCAGTTTAAAGCAAGATAATTTCCATTGCCGTGTATAGCAGTCCTCATGGTGACCGGATTTAGCTGACCCGTGTATACCGCCTTGATAAGGAAGCCAGAATAGCAAAAACGAAAGAGGGCTGTTGAAACATGCCTTGCAAGTCGAGAGTAAGTGACTTTTTCTCTCCACAATTGTTCGGGTGCACCGCGTCCGCCGGCAATACCCCACTGCGAAACGTTTACGTAAGCGCAATCGGCATCGAAATTCTGGTTCAAAACATTCGGTATCACTATAGGCTGCGACAGCGACGCTACATACCGTCAAAATCGATCACTTCCCTCACCTCCCTAGATGTTGAGCGATCGAATGACGACACCGCCATAGGTCACTAAAACTTTCAGCTTACGGATCACTGGCTATCATCAAGTATCCCTCAAATAGGCGATGCGGAATATCTTAGTGGTCTAACATTGCCCAATCCCGCTGCATGATCGTAATACAACTGTCATCCTAAGCGGTGTGGTGGTAGTGCCCAGTCTGAGTCAGTGCCATCGGCTGATACCACACCTATACCACATCCATCCCGTGCCTTTATCAGATATTGAATCTGAAACCCACAATTTAGAACAAATTGAAAACCAAACGGAACCCCGATAAAACATCGGGGAAGAAGCCAGATTCTTCAAAGGTCTTCAGCTCAAATTTTCGATTTTGATGGGTGGGTGTGAAATGAGTGACATCAAGCTCAGTAACAGACCCATGTACGGGTGACGTCAGCAAATGGGGTTATCTGGGATGGTGATATCAAGATAACCGCCAGTGTACAATCACGCAGACCAAAAATCTGCGCACGCTCTATCAGATATGTGATCAAAAGAGTCCAAAGGGCGCGCAGCATTGCAACAAATGAGGTAGTACAAGTTAAAATTACAACCTAATCAAGGTTTCTGAAATTGATACCTGCAGCAACAAAACCAATGAACAAAAAATGAAACAGAAATGCTGATATAAAAATAACGCGAGTGTATCACACAGACCAAAAGCCTGTGCGCAATCTATCAGATGCGTGATCAAAGGAGTCCAAAGGGCGTGAAAACACAATCAAATACCTGCAGCAATGAAACCAATGAAACAGAACAGGTAGGTTCTCTTGTAATATAAATAAGTAAAGAACTCTCTTTAATCACATCAATTTGCACATCATAAGTCTCAAATTTACTCGCACACATCCTAATCATTCATCCTTGAAAACAGAATGTGAATCCTCAAGCTTCCATGGCAATGTTGCCATTCAGTCATGTTGATCATCTGGATTTCCTGCTTTTTCAACACGAGACACATCACTTCACTTGTCATCACATCCAACAACTTAAGAACATTTGGGCCTCGCATGACTGAGTCCTACCAGCATGGAAGACTGTAAAGCACTCTGACACTGTAAACATTATGCATTATCCCCAAGTGGGAATGGTAAAATGATTAAGATTATAGTTTTTTGTAAAAATATCAATCACTGCACACCTGACCCATAAAACCCACACTACATATGTGCAGCAGGCTAAGTAAATAGGTGGTTATTGTGTACATACAGGTCTGGTTAGTTATCTGCTCATCTAGATAATTGAATCATATGTAATAGATGCCGTAACTTTCTTGAGCTTGACAAAAGCATACTGAAAATTGACTACATACACTGACTCAAAGTTTTGGTGTAATTTCATCAACTAAACTTCATGTAACACTCTTTCTGTTACTGACAAATGGCATCAAGAGTATTTCCTGAGTAGATATGGAGGCATAAGTAGTCAATGTTTGGGACAATTTTGTCAAAGTGAAAAAATTTACATGATGTATCACATGTGATTTACTTATTTAGATGAGTAAACAACTCAGCATACCTGTATGTACATGATAGCCACCTATTTACTCAGCCTGACGTACATATGTAGTATGGGTGTTATGGCTCAGGTGTGTGGTGACAGATCTTTTTATGACAAACCACAATCTTAATCATTTTCCCATTCCAACTTGAGAATAATATATGATGTTTACAGTGTTATATCTGAAAATGACTAGAACCAGAGCTGACAATTCAATGATTTGATACCAACTCTTGGTTAACAGTGTGTCAATCAGAGCATCCACTATGGGTGCCTTAACAACGTGATTTAGCGTTACCGTAACGCTAAAATCCAGACAGGCCCACTATGGACCTGTTTTAGACATGCGGTCCGTACGACCGCGTCAAGTCTTGCAGTCCGCTTGTTCAAATCTACAAAAGCCTACGACTTGATTTATTGTAAACTTTTGGCGCATCCAAACGGTCAACAGCCATCCAATGATCTATCTCCCATCCAGCTCTGCACTCACCACCTTCACTCAAAACCTTCCCTCTTCCCTCGAACTCTCAGCTTGTTGATAGTAGCTGTTTACTCCGGATTTGCAAAAAAAAGCATCTTTTTTCAAAAAAAGTCATCTCGCGCGATCGATGTCACCAAGATCAAACAAGAGGTGAGAAAGCTCTTTGCTGATTGTCAAAACCTGAAGGCATCAATTTGGTTCTTTCTGGTCACCAAGGTAGTCATCAGCATAGGCTGGGTGAGGTGTGGTAAGATACTTCAATTTGAGTCTTGACTTTGCCATAGCGTGTATAGTGTTCTAAGAACAGATTATCGTAGTTAAATCCTACGTTACATCATCCCATAGTGGATTTCATGCGGTTAACAACTTAGCTACAACACGCATGATTAAATTTTGTGATCAGGACCGCAAAATTTACGATAAAACACCCTCAACATAGTGGATGCTCTCAGTGGGCCGCTTAGGTCAGATAGGTATTTCTATGATGGAGAGCAGAGTCTACAATGTTTATGCCAGTTTGGGCTCCGTGGAATTTTCCTTTACTGATCTCTTGTCGTTTTTCTCACCTCCAACAGTACTTCAGATAATCATATGAGTAACATTGTGGAACAAGATGAACACCAAAATGAATTTTATAACTAGCTTAAAGAGTTTTTCCTACAAGGAAGTTGAGGGATGTATGGTACTCACTCACATATCTGACAGATCTGGTCCTACCATTCCCTCACAGAACACATGCACATCATTGTACACCAATACAGAAGGATGTGATGCATGTCAAGAGAGACTTCTAAGATCACTTCTTGGTGTGGTTTCAACAGACGTGTGAATATAATCCTCAACTTATTTCTCTATATTCCATGAGACAGTGACTTATATGAACTTACCATTCACAATGGGGTGTTCAGAAAAAGACCTCTACCACAAAGTTGGGTTGAAGACTATAGCTTGATATGTCCGTCAATTGGAGACATTCACATATCAATTCTGTCATACATCAGGCATTGGTCTGAGGCACTGATCAAAACTGTTCAAGACATCTTTCTCGTACTAATACAGAATCTTGTTGTCTGACCTTGTTTGAGTGATAATGATGGAAGATGACTTCATCAGCTGTTATTTGCCTGATGATCATAATCATTGCCTCAGGTTTAATGGATTTACTGTAAGGACTAGGGATGGGCAGAGAGGTGCAAGGAAGACTAGCGTAAAGGTCCTCTAGCTGAGGTAATATATTGCTATGTGAGGATTAGAGGAGTCTAATCCTCTAGGCTACTAACTAGAGAACAACCCAGTACAAGCATGTCTAAGTATAAGCATATGACAAAGCGCTCATAACATCACTCCCCCTTTAATGTCTCAACCTCCTCTTGCAGGTTAGCATCTTTCCACGGGTGGCATTAAAAACCCAGTGGGAAAAAAGCCATACCCTCTTACTTCCTCCGTGTCCTCTTGTATCTGTCTTCTGCCTTTGGATAATTATTGTTGAATTCATTTACTGCTTCTTTTGCGTTGCTGAGTGAATTTTCTGGCTCCCACGTATCATAACTTGAATCATACCCTTTCCAACTAATAAGATACTCTACTTTGCTTCCCTTCTTTCTCTTGTCCAGAACTTCATTCACTTCATATTCCAGGTCTTCATTTATCATTATTGGTGGTGGTGGTTGTTGTTCTTGGCCTTCAACACTACTAGGGCGGAATTCTCGTAGCAGGTTAACGTGAAATACCGGGTGTATTCTCGACATGGACCTAGGTAATACCAGCTTGTAAGCATTTTGAGAAACTTGGCTAGAAATGACAAACGGTCCCATCCATCGATGAGAGAACTTAGCTGTGGGTCTGGTGGTGGATAGGTTTTTGTTACTTAGCCATACTCTCGTGCCTTTCTTCCATACAGGTGACGTGTTAACTTTCTTGTCGTGTTGAATTTTCATTTCATCTTGCGCTAATCTCATCAAATCCTTTAACTCGTTTTGCACTTCCTTTATCTGTTTCATTCGGTCTTCCACTATTGGTAAACATTGGTCGCTTGACGGTATGTCTGTAAAGCTAGGATCATATCCATAATTTGCTTTAAATGGGGATACACCGATCGCCATGTGCTGGTTGTTATTATACGAAAATTCAGCAAACGGCAAGAGATTGTACCAATTATCTTGCTTATAAGAAACGAAATGCCTTAGGTATAACTCTACTGCCTTGTTCGTGATTTCCGATTGGCCATCCGTTTGTGGGTGATACGCCGTCGACGACTGAGTCGTGATTCCCAACCTTTTGTGGAAGTCTTTCGTGATTTTCGAAATGAATATGTTTCCACGGTCAGACGTGATGGTCTGTGGAGTACCATGTAGTCGCCATACTTCTCTTATCATAAGACTTGCTAGCTCCTCCGATTTCATTTCCTTTCTGCATGGCAGGAAGTGCGCCATTTTGGTTAACCGGTCAACGACCGTTAAGATGCTATCGTGACCGTTCGACACAGGCAGGTCAGTTATCATATCGTAACATATGTCTATCCACGGGCCTTTTGGAACCTGCAATGGTTGGAGACTTCCAAATGGTTTCTCTGTTTGAGACTTTACTCTTTGGCAAGATTGGCAACCTTCTACATATCGATTGATGTACGCCTTCATCAATGGCCAGTGATAAGCTCTTTTCACCAGTGCTAATGTTTGCATTCGCCCTGGGTGACCCGCCAATTTGCTGTCATGTCTGGATCTCAGGATTTGGAGTTTCAGGTTAGCATCATCAGGAACTACGATTCGATTTTTGAAATACAATACTCCTTGCACGACTTTGTAGTTGATCATTAATTTTGATTGCGGCATGTCTTGACACATTCTCATGAGCTCAATTAACTTGCTGTCATTTTCATATCCTGACTTGACTTCATTGATGATTTGAATGTCCGTCCATATCGGTTCTTCAAGATGTTTGTCTTCACTTAACTCGTCCTCAGTGACCAGTGGTTCTTCATTTGTGCTTTCATCAACAAACCACATGTCGGCAATTTCCAGGTCATCAATGAATGCATCGTGCGGTAGGTTCTCCGGTTTGAGTATTTGACCAAACGAGAGTTTCGTTCCATCAGGTGGCATGTAGTCTGGTCGTCGGGAAAGCGCGTCTGGCTTGGTTGAATGCTTCCCAGGTCGGAATCGTATTTCAAAGTCGAAGTTTCCAAGGGTTTCTGCCCAACGCGCCTGCCTCCTTGTCAGTTCTTTGGTTGTCATAAGGGATTCCAGATTCTTGTGATCAGTGTAAACAGTGACATTTAATCGGTTATGATGAAAGTTGTAGGAGTTGAATTGGTCGAGTTGACATGAAAGTCACTTGTGTGAGTAATCTGGGATTCGTGTCCGCTGAATCCCATTACACTTCGAGTTTGGGGTAGGGGCTCTGTTTGAAGGTGGTTTCTGAGTACAAACTTCTCACTCATTGCCTCGTGGGTTGCTCCACTGTCTACGAGGGCTTTTGCATTCAAGGTTGTGGCTGATTTAACGTCAACAATTGTAACATAGTCAATGATTCGTGTATCTTTCATTTCTAAAGCATTGATGTCACTACAGTCTACAGTTAAATTTGAATCGCTCGGGGGAGGCACAACTAGCACTCCCGAGCTCCTCCATTTTTTGACGCTTCAGCTCTTCCCTCTTCCTTTTCATTTTCTTTCACTACATCTACTTCAGCAACTCTTGCTCTAAATCTACTCCCCCCTCTTCCTCTCCAATTACCCCTTCCGCTTCTCTTCTTTTTCTCCGGGCAATCTCCTATGTAATGACTTGTACTACCACATCCATAACATGCTCCAGTCTCTCCTCGCCTGCGGTACTCGTCTTGAGATATTTTGAGACTAAACGCTGAACAGTCCATTGCGTCTGGGTCTACCTGAGACACTTGAGGGGCGTTCGTGTTGAATGAGTTCGCCGTTGATGCAATCACATCTTGAGTTCGTTTATTGACTTTATTATCGATCTTGATTGCTAACTTAGCCATGTCTTCAACCTTCTCAAATTCATCCCGTACCATAAATACCGTGATTTCATTTTTTAAACCTTGTTCAAACTGAGTCACTAGAACTGATTCAGGCCATTTAACTACAAGTGCAAGTTCTGAAAATCTAATCCAGTAATCTGCTACCGTCTTCGTCTGCTTCAACGCTCTGATGTCTTTCTCGGCTTTAGCAACTCGTTCCGAATCGAAAAACGTGGCCTTGAATGAGTCTAGGAACCTCTTCCAAGTCACCGATGCAGCACGGTCTGGGTCTAAGATTTCATCTATGATCGATTGGCCCCATATGCTCGCTTTTCCCGTGAGATACGAAAGCGCAAATGCCACCTGACCTTGTTCGTTGACAAACGATGCCGAATTCATTTGCATGTACAATCCGATTTGGTTCACAAAGATTTCAGCCTTTTGGCCTTTGGTGCCATCGAACTTATCAGGTGTTGCTATTTTTGGTGGTTTCACATGATGTACAGCTGTTGCAGTAGGGACGGGATTCGATTGTGGTTGAGTCGGTGGTTGATTAGTCTGCATGAATGGGATCTGACTGCCTGAACCTTGATGTATTCGAGATTGATCAAAGGTTTGTTTCAATTCATTCCATCCACGCTCCGCTTCCTTTCTCAATCTTGTTTCTTCTTCTAACTTAGCATGCAGCTCATCCATCCTCCTCATCAGCTCCTCCATCCCATTGCTCGTCATTGGATTATCCATATTAGCTGGTGGGATTTCACTTTCCTCTAGAGGACTATCGGGTAAAGTGAAGTCCGGCGTTTTGGCTGATGTAATCGAGGTGATTGGCTGTAGATCCTTTGATTTAAAGTTCGGAAGATTGCGGGGTTTACACTCGTACTCGTTTCCACTTTTAACTTCTGATAGTTTTCTGAATAAGATTCTGAATTAAATGATTGGATCTGATTCTTTTAACTGTAACCTTCTTTGCTTGCTTTCTTCTTCTTTAACTTTCTTCTTCTTTAACTTTCTTCTTCTAATTTGTTTTTTCTTTCTTATACTTGATTCCTTGGACCCCTAGAGATAGACGTAGCAATATGTACGTAGCAATATGTAAGGACTAGGGATGGGCAGAGAGGTGCAAGGAAGACTAGCGTAAAGGTCCTCTAGCTGAGGTAATAGGAGTCTAATCCTCCAGGCTACTAACTAGAGAACAACCCAGTACAAGCATGTCTAAGTATAAGCATATGACAAAGCGCTCATAACATTTACCAGGTAGGTTAATCAGGCCCCTGGATAGCTCCTACCAAAGGTACCAACCAAAAAGGTATCTTTTTGGTCTGGAAATTTCTTGATGTTAGGGACAAAAAAGGTATTTTTTGACCCCGTTGGAATTGATCATAGCGACCTCAGAGGAATTAATCCAAGATTTCATAGCTTTTCCTAGGCTAGTTTTGCAGGTTGGGGACTTGCAAGGAATTTTTTGGCATTTTTTCATGATTTTTTCAAAAATGTTACCGACAAAAGAGGTATTCTTGGGCCCCCAAACCTTTAAATTCAGGTATGAATAACTGAATTTTTGAGGTTTTTTGTTGGTATGCTCCATAGGAGCTATCCGGGGGCCCGGTTAATCTCTGTCAAACCAAAAACTCATGTTTCTGACCAACTTCATGCTTTGGGTATCATTTCAAGTGGGATTTCTTACAATCAGTCATCAATTTTTTTTACAGATTATGTGAAGTTGTCCATGAATGAAGTGTAATTCAAGATTAACTGATATTTACATGTGAAATCAGATAGACAAACAATGTCTGAATACTTTCAAATATGTAGAAATAATTTGAGATTTGGTAAAGCAATGTGAGTGGTGCGGTTTCCTTTGTATCTTGTTCAGGGTAGCTAAGACACATGGCTTGGATTGGACACTGTTCTGGGATAAAGGTCAAGGGATGAGTTCATCAACTCTTACCTTCCAGATATTGATGGCCTTTGAGTGGCATTCTTGCAACATCTCAAGTAAGTAAAAAAGTCCTTGAGGTGATATCTCAGCCATGTTGATTGTTTGATCCTCTTTATATAGTCAAATTACAGGACTGTCAAAAACAAGAGATTTTGTGCCTAATCAAAGATTGATGTCTGCCTATTTGCAATGGGTTACAGAGTATGATGTGTGAGTTTTAATTCTTTACCTTCATGTATGATGCAAGAAGTTGTACTCTGAATGCAACTCACAAAAACTGATAACACTCACAACTAGGCAAGCCTTTGGAGTTCCGTTTGTTAATCTGTTCTTGCCAGGTGATTGAAAGCTTCAGATAGTTAGGGGTCCTTCCAAAGGTAAAGAAGCTTACCAGGATTATTATCACCGGTTCCAACATCAAGCTATGTCTACTCTCTTTCTATGATTGTCAAAAGACCATTTTCCTCTTTCGATTATTCCAGACTACTCAGAGTATTGATAAATCTTCTGCTTTTCTTTTACCCATTATTATTCCATCAGTCAAAGGACTTTTTCAGTTAAGTTTGTATTTATATCCCACCCGGTTAGGCAAAATTGTCTTGTTTGGCTGGTTCTTATTCAACAGGGACTTAGAAAGATTGTTTGATTCTGGACTTGGTGACCCAAAGCTAAAGGAAGATTTCATAAAGCATATCAATAAGGAAGCTGAAAGATTAGGATCAAAACCAGAAATACTTTATCTTCCTGGTAACATTCATTGGAAATATAAAAAACCTCTTCACAACCGAGCAAACTAGTGGTACCAAGAGATCAATGAAAAAATATCAACACTGGAAATATGATATGAATGAAAGTTGGAAAAGATTTACTAAAAGAATAGCTAATAGGTATAAACAATGGAAGTATGATATAAGTAATGGTTGAAGAATATCTAAATCTAATTGGAAAAATGTACATCAAAGTGATGAATCTTCCAGGTTTTCAATGTCTCTTGGGTTATTTTTTGTCTTAATTAAAATTATGGTCATCAAACCAGTGCAAAAATTTGTGCAAATTCTGTGCAAGATATGAATAGAACTGGCATGGATCTTGCATTGGTCTTGTATGTCGCTCTTGCATGGTTTTTGTACCACCAGTTGGAACACAATAGCTGGGGTTGTCTAAATATTCAATGTGCAAGATTGGTGCATGAAATCTTGCACAGATCTTGCATATTGGTCTTGCACAGTTTTTGCACGGTTTGAGGACCACAAATTTTATTTACTTTATCCATTCATTTACGCTGAACAAAAGGATTACATCAGTCTTGAGACCATAAGCATACATATACAAACCATAAATTGAAGTACATACATCGCATGTGTAGGGAGGAGCCATCAGGTGGGAATTTCATAGATAAAAGTAAAGTTTTATGAGAATAGAGAGCATGTGAAGTGTTGGAGGAGGGGAAGGATGATTGATCGATTATGAAGGTCTAATAATTGAATAAAAGCATATTTGTGTAGCTCAACATGTAACATATGCTTATAGCGAACCCCCGATCACCACTGAAAGTCACTCTTGAGTCTAAAAAAAGAAAAATCACAAAAACGAGAAAGCAAAAAACAAGACTCAAGATGTTCTTTAAATCAATCATCAAACCAACTCAAACAATCACCACTAACCCAAACCGACTTTTCATCAAATTAAATTCCACCACCACAACTAATTCAAAACCGATTCCAAATTTATTTTTCGTAATTCACTTTTTCTTTTCTTGTTTGATTTGAAAATCCAACACTAATCGAAATTGGGTTAATTTTTTTTGGGATGTAGAAAGTAAAAGCAGATGGAAAAAGTTTAGGAGAAATCCAATTTAAAGTAAGTCATAACCCGATCGAATTTCATCTCCTCTCAAATACCCCTTCGAATCCAACCAGAACCACAATCAAACCGACGAATTTCATTGAATTTAAATTAATGTCCAATTTTCTTTTCTTTTCATAAATGATTTCAGTTATATGAAAAAGAAGTACCAAGAACAAGTCAAAACTTTTATGAATTATGTAAAGGTTCTAAAGGTTATGGATACAAAGGTTCAAAGTTTCATAGGATCATACCTAACTTTATGTTACAAGTTAAGGGACTTTTCACTTTGATTGAAAACAAAAAACCCACAAACAATTAATATTTTGTCTTTTTTTTGCTTCTTACCGGTTTGTTTTTCGTTTGGTTCGTTTAGGGTGGCGATTTTACAAACCATAATGGAACAGGTGGAAAATCAATTTATGGACCAAAGTCAGTAAACATCAAACAAATAATATCCAAACAAAAAAAATCTGATTGATTTCTTCATTTTTACAAAACACACACTCTCACACACGAAACAATCAATTTAAATCAATCCAAAAACTTCATCAATTTTATTATCGTTTTCTGTTCGGTTTGGTTTGGTTTTCAATTTATTTTTTGCTAGATTTGAAGACGAAAACTTTCATTTTAAACATTCCAAAGTAGGTTTATTATCAATGGCAAACGCAGGTCCGAATACCAATGGATCTCAAGTAAGCCACTTCCAAACCCGATCCCTCACTCATTCAACCACCTAAACCAAACTAAAAATTAATAAACCCATCCAAAAAACTTTTTTTAACGTTTAGTTCTTTATCACTACTACAATTACAAGTTGGGTAAGTCAAGACCTAAAACCTAAAGACTCAATCTCTTACTTCCAAGTCATACTGACATTCTATAATTTTTCATCTATTTCTTAAAACACAAAGCTCGATGGTAAACATGTCGTTTTTGGTGAAGTGATCAAAGGTTTTGAAGTAGTTAAAGCTATTGAAGCATTAGGTTCACAGTCAGGTAAACCATCCCAAGAAGTGATCATTGAAGAATGTGGTGAAGTTTCATCTTGAAAACCCAAAACCCTACTGAAAACCAAAAGCCCTTTGACCATGAAAAGAATTATGTATCTATGATAAGGTTATCAATTTTTTAATTGTACATGAGAGTTGATGTGAAGGCTTTTGCTTTCCTTTTTATAATTCATCATCGGGTTCTTCGTTATCCATATCATCTGCTGAATCAGGTTCATAAACAATTAAACCATTTGATTTAGATTGAGGTTGGAATGAACCATCATAAATTTCACCAGGTGCTTGAATCACTTAAACAAAGAAAGATCCCAATGAGATTCAAGAAAATTATCAGTTTTCTAAAACCAACAAGAAAGAGTTAATAAAGAACTCTAACCTATTCCATCTTGATTTCTTTTGGGTAAAAATGGTAATTGAACTTGATCTCGATCAGTTCTTTGTTGTTCAGTAAGTGATAAATTAAATGTAACTTGATCTTGCAATTCATTCATTGGATCGTTTTGCTAAACCCCCCCAAAAAAAATTCATCAATCAAAAATCAGTGTCAAAAATCATTGGAAAACCATAAGTTGAAGAAAAAGTAACCCCCATCAAACAAAGGCCATCAAACAACTCAACTTGAGATGGTTTAAAGATCCGTCGAATCGGTTTAATTGTAATTTCTTCAATTGAGACAGGTATTAATTTTGGAAACTCTAAATCAGTAGAATCTAATTTCAAAGCTTCAATTCCATGTAAAACAGATGCCGTTTTTTTCTGATGAGTAAGTAAATTTAGGTTTAAAGAAGTGGATTCAAAGAATACAGAAGTTGGCAAGTTTTTAGACGTCCAACTAACTAAACAAGAACCAGTATGAGAAGAAGAAGAAGAAGAAGAGGGGGGTATGAGTAATGCTTGAGGGATTAAGATCGAGTTTGATGTATATGGGTTCATGCTTAAGTTTAGTTCTTCTAGTAATGAAAACAGTCTAGGATCATATGATGTTCCGTTGATTTGTTTTTGGTTTATAACCGGTTGGATTCGTTTAGGTGAAGGGATTTGGAATTCGTGGATCAGATGATGGTAAAGGTTTGTAGGATATAACTTTAGATGAATTGAACAAGATTGGGCGATGAAACTTGATGATGAGGAAGTGAATGTGATGGATGGGTTGGGTTGGGTTGGGTCTTGTGGATATAGATGTGGTGAATCGATGATGATTAATTTAGATTGATCTAAAGGGTTTCCAAAAAAGGTTTTATAATATTATTTTATAAGTGGATTAGGGTTTGGGAAATGGTTGAGTGGGTTTGTGGGTCGGAAAAGTTACGTACGTTTGGTTAGTAGTTGGTTGAAGAGCCTTAGGGTTTCTTTGATTGACCATTTCTTGATACATTCCCCTAAAGAATCAATAATGATCGTAATAGAAGACTAAAGTTTAACCAAAACAAATCAGTTTATATTTTTCTTTTAAGACCGATTCGGGATGACTTACATCAGGTTGGATTGGGTTTAACTTGGTATGAACTAATTCTAATAAATCATTAACTTTGATTTCTTCTTGATCAACTGAACATAAATTAATAAATTCAAATTGGGTTTCATTTGACTGTGTTCTAAACATCAAAGGATTATATTTTAATCCGATCATCAATACTTTCGAACCACATCTAATCGAAAGAAAAAAGATTAGTATCAAGAAGAAGAAAATGAAGAAAGATGCCTTGTGGAGGTTTTAGAATGACTTACGAGTTGGATTTGGGGGTTGAAGATGATGAAGATTTAATGATTTGATGAATGATAGGTAAAGCAGATTGAGAAATTGAATCTTGAATTGTAATATAAATCGATTTAGGTAATTCATTTGATTGGTTTTTTGATGATTGTGATTGGTTGGGTTCTAAGATTTTAGATAGTAGTAAGTTAGGTTTTTGGTTTTGAAAGCTTGAGTTGATTGATTTCATTTTTTGTTTGAAGAGTGACTTGATTTGAAGTGAGTTTCTTGTTAGTTAAATGTGAGTTGGATTGGTTCCATGTTCGATTTGGATCAATCTCCGATGCTGGATTGGATGCTGGATGAAACGTTGAGTAGCGGATCCTTGGCATTTCATGGCTTAGGTTTATCTATCGTATGGCTTTAAGCAGGCTGCAAGAAGCTCAACTTTTCTCTGGAATCTCATCACCAAGCTTGTATGTAGTCAAACTACTGCTCTACTGACTATCTTCTGGAAACTATCAAGGCACACAGTCACAGTGCATTCAAAGTGAAGGATCTATACTTCTTCTTTTTTTCTTCAAAGGATCCTCTCCAATAACCTGAAATAGAGTAAACCCTGGATGAAAAGCTTCTTGTGTCTCGTGAGTTGATAAATTTGAGTCTTTCAGTATCTTAAAAGTAAATGCATCGTATATATATAGATGGTACAGCCCTTTGCATGATTGATGACTTTGAAGAAGAAAAAACCTTGAGTTTTCAACAAAAAAACCTTGAGTTTTTTTTAAAAAGTGACTGAGTTTTTTCAAAAAACTACCGAGTTTTTGAAAAAGTCAATGAGTTTTTCTTGAAATTTTCAAATGTCAATGAGTTTTTGAAAAACTCAGTAGGTTTTCAAAAAAACTCGGTCACTTTTTGAAAAAACTCGAGGTTTTTTTTGTTGAAAATTCAAGGTTTTTTTTTCTCCAAAGTTATCAATCATGCAAAGGGCTGTAGCAAGACATGGAGTTGATAGAGTTGATCAGTTGATAGAAATGGCTCATGAGGTTGGGAACTTGAAGTTTTAAAGATTCATCGGCGTGCACCTCATACCCTTGGATCTTGGAAGTGCGCGCCGGACAGAGCTTTACTTAAGAGAGGGTGAAAAGTACTTAGTTAAACTTTAAGTAGTTTTGTCTTCTGATGATCGATCGAAACCATTCAATTTCTCTCGTCATCACCATTCGAGCAGATTACCACCAAGCAGCCTCCCACCAACAACAAGATTCCTAGAAAGTATCAATACAAATTGGTAAGTTACCATCAACCTGATCACAGTAATCGATCCTAACTATTAACAATCTCTCGCATTCAAAATATCAGTTAAACCAAATATCAAAACCCACACTACCACCACTCTCATCATGAGTCCACCAACTCAAGCATGTTATACACTCGTACACGATGATGCTCAAGATCAATATGCAACACAAGATTTAAGAGCAGCATTAGAAAAAGGAACAGACGAACTCAAATTAGAAACGCTACGTAGAATCATTGTTTCGACCTTGAATGGAAACCCACAACCTACACTCTTGATGCCTATCATTCAATTCGTTTTGCCTTCTCGTAATAAACAAATTAAAAAAATGTTACATTTCTATTGGGAAGTTTGTCCAAAGTTTGATGAAGCTGGTAAATTAAAACAAGAGATGATTTTGGTTTGGTGAGTGGTTTGATCTTGATTACATCTATGGTTTTAGCTTTCATTTTTTTTTGGCAAGTATACTGACATTTCTTTTTTGGGGGTGGGTTCAATGAAGTAATGCTATTCGTAATGACCTACAACATCCTAATGAATACATTAGAGGGGCTACCTTACGATTTGTTCAAAAGTTACGAGAACCTGAACTTCTCGAACCACTTGTACCAACAGTCCGAACTTGTCTAGTAAGTCTTTGATTACTTCACTCATCCTGTCTCTCACCATCTCTACTGTAACCTAACATGTAACCTTTCCTTTGACCATTGACAAATCATCCTATCTAGGAACATCGACACTCCTTCGTACGAAAAAATGCAGTCTTTGCAGTCTATTCGATCTATCAAGCTTTCGATTATCTCATTCCAGATGCACCAGAATTGGTTCAAACCTTTTTAGCAGCTGAATCAGATTTAACTTGTAAACGAAATGCATTCATCATGCTCGTTAATACCAGTCCGGTTAGAGCTATCGAATATCTTTTACAAATCTATGATCAAATTTCATCATTGGATGAATTGATGCAACAGGCGGTGATTGAATTGATTAGGAAAGATAGAGAGGGAAAAGGTGAAGGTGGAAAAGAGGATTTGAAAGTTACCGTCGGTGGGATGAAGGTCAGTAAGGCAGTGGGCATGCTTGTTGGTAAACAAATGGCTAATCTTTGACCAAGTTTTGTTGTTCTTTCATTCTTTGAATCTAACACCAACAGGCTCGTTATATCAGAATCATTTCGGAATTATTAGAGTCCCCCTCTCATTCTGTCAAGTACGAAGCTGCAATGACGCTCACCACCCTAACTCAAAACCCTGCAGCTGTCAAAGCTGCAGCTGCATGTTTCATTGATTTGATCGTCAAAGAAACGGATAATAATGTGAAGATGATCGTTTTGGATCGAGTTGAGGCTCTTAGAAGTAAACATGATCATGTACTAGATGACATGGTGATGGAAATCTTACGTGTCTTGTCCTCGTATGCTCTCATCTCTTTGCATATCATCTGTCTTCAATTCTCTCTAATGTTTGATGTACTTTCAGTCCGGATATGGATGTGAGGAAAAAAGCTACCAGTTTGGCTTTGGATATGGTCAGTAGTCGAAATGTCGAGGATGTGGTTTTATTCCTCAAGAAAGAATTGGTAAAGACCTTGAGTGAAACGTTCGAAAAGGTGCGTGATTGATTCTTTAACTAAGATCCCAACCTCGTGAATAAAGACCAATCAAATTACTGATATATATGTCGAATTCTTAGAACGCCGAATACCGACAACTGTTAATCCAATCGATTCATACATGTGCCATCAAATTCTCAGAAGTAGCTTCAAACGTAGTACACGTCTTGATGGAATTCTTAGGAGATTCTAATAATTCAGCTGCAGTAGATGTGATTTCATTTGTAAGAGAAGTGGTTGAAAAATTTCCAGATTTAAGATCTTCTATTATTGAAAAACTTTTACAAACTTTTCCAGAGATTAAAAGTGGTAAAGTTTTTAGAGGTGCACTTTGGATTGTGGGAGAATATTGTACTACTCCATCAGGTGAGAGATTTTTTTTTGGGTTGTTTTTTGTAATTTTTGAAAGAAAAGATTTGTTGATTGATTGATCTGGATTGGGTTTTTTCTTACACAGATATGCTTGAAACCTTTTCACAGATTAGAAAGGTGATTGGTGAAATTCCTATATTGGCTTCTGAACAACGTTTACTGGACGCTGCTGAAGCTGAGGCAGAAGCAGAAGCATCAGCTTCTGAAAACGTCAACAACACTAAACCGTCTGGTCCTACCACCACTACGAAAGTCCTTGCGGATGGAACGTATGCAACTGAGACTACCTTCTCTGTTACTGCGACTGCAAGTTTGAACAAAGTCAAGGCTCAAAGCAAACCTCCACTTCGTGCTATGATCTTAGGTGGTGATTTTTACACTGGAGCAGCTTTGGCATCGACTTTAACCAAACTAGTCTTACGATTTTCGGAGCATTCGAAAGATTCAAGGGAAATTAACGGTTTAAAAGCTGAAGCGATGTTAATGATGACCTCTGTGATTAGAGTTGGACAATCGCATTTTTCTTCTGTACCGATCGATGAAGATTCAGTTGAACGGATCACGACTTGTTTACAAGCCTTGGCCGAAGTACCTGAAGGAAAACCGATCAAGGAGATCTTCTTACATGATACCCAAGCCGCTTATACACAAATGGTAGCACATGATGAAAAGAAGAAAGCGGAAAAGAAATCGAAAGATTCGAAATTGATTGAAGTTCAGGTAGATGATTTGATTAGTTTTAAACAATTTAATAAACGAAATGGGATTGAAGGAGATGAGTATGAAACTGATTTGACTAAAGCGACGGGTACGATGGAAGCTAAAGAAGATTTCTTATCGAAATTAAGTCGAGTGATTCAATTAACCGGATTCTCTGATCCGGTTTATGCAGAAGCATATGTGAATGTGAATCAATTTGATATCTTATTAGACGTTTTGATTGTGAATCAAACTTCGGAAACTTTACAAAACTTAACGGTAGAGTTTGCAACGTTGGGAGATTTGAAATTAGTGGAAAGACCAGTGTCTCATACGTTGGGACCGATGAGTTTTCAATCTATTAAAGCTACCATCAAGGTTTCATCGACGGAGACTGGGGTGATCTTTGGGAATATCTTTTATGATGGAGTGGCTTCTTCGGATGGACATTGTGTGGTTTTGAATGATATTCATATTGATATTTTGGATTATATCAAACCTGCGTTTTGTAATGAAGCTCAGTTTAGGAGTATGTGGACTGAGTTTGAATGGGAAAATAAGGTGAATGTTAGTACTAAGATTGATGATCTTAGAGTATGTAAGTTTAATCTTTTACTTCTTTGGTCTTTCTCTTTTTTTTGTCTGTGTCTGTGTGTGTGTGTTAGTTTGATTGACTTGAATGCTTCTTTGGTTAAATGGAATGGAAAAAAATAGATTTGGATCATATTATGGCAGCTACCAATATGTCTTGTTTAACACCTGATGCAGCTTTATCAGGAGAATGTGGATTCTTATCAGCAAATATGTATGCACGTAGTTTATTTGGTAAGTAGTTTTTCCTTTTTCTCGGTTTCGTTTTCTATTGGATTTAAGGAAAAGTTAATCATGATTTTTTTTCGGTGGACGGTTGGGTTGTTGTTGTTGGTTTTCTAGGTGAAGATGCATTAGCTAATTTAAGTATTGAAAAAGCTGATGGAGTTTTACAAGGTCATGTTAGGATTCGAAGTAAGACACAAGGAATTGCACTTTCACTTGGTGATAAGATTACTCTTTTACAAAGGTTTGTGGTTTTGGGTTTTGGTTATTTGAAATTCGTTTCAAGAGAAATGTGGAAAAGTTGATTGGTTTTTTGATTTTTTTGGTTTTGTTGGAATTGGGGTTGAATTTGTTTAGAAAACCTTGATGAAAACTTGAAACGTTTTTTGGTTTCTTTGAAGATTTTTTTTGGATCAGAAACTTTGAGGGAGGAAGAGATGGTAGAAGAAGAAGAAGATTCATTGGTTTTAGATTAGATTAGGTTTATTTTTTATTTTTGGTTTTGGTTTTGTCTTTTTGTTTTGTGTTAAGAGTGATGAAAAGAATGAAAAAAGATGAAAGTTTGAATGGGGTTCAAGTTTGGTTAAATTGAATGAGATCAGAACGCAATTGATCATCAAGTTGATTGTGTTTGATTTACTTAGAGATTTGATCTTGGTTTACTTTGATTATTTTTTTATAAAATTAAAGGAAATTTAAGATGAATAGAGTGGATTTTTTGTTTGACAACTAAACTGGAAAACTGGTTTTATTTGAGTACATACAACATCATGCTGGTCAAGAGGTTTGAATATTTTCTTGAATTGGTTTGGATGATGATAATGATGATGATGAGTGCTTAGGGCGCGTTCACTTAAGCAATTTCTGGGAAGAAATCACATTCTGCAAAATTTCAAGTGTCTATTTGGTGGAGCATGTTTCTTTTTTGGATTAAAAAATTCACAGAATGTGATTTCTGGTCAGAATTTCCTTAAGTGAATGTGCCCTTACATGTGCAGGGCAAAGAAAAGATTAAAAGAAAAGAAATAACATGGATCAAAATTGAATACAAGAAGAGAGTTTGGTTGAAGGTTTGTTTTTGAGAAAAGGTTAGTAAAATTAATATGTAAATCAAATGTTACCAGAAAAAAAAAACAGTAAAAAAAAAGTTTTACAATAGGGGGCTTCAAGTTTGATTAGATTTTATGTATTTTTCAAGAATTCAGAGAAGTTGTTTATAAAGATAATTTTTGTAAAACAGACATATTTTTAGTTTGAGACACCTAAAAAGATGTCTGACTTTAAAAAGATTGTGCATATTTTACAATGACAAGCAAGTTGTTGTAGCATCAAAATACATAAAAAAAAGTTAACTTGAAACTCCCTAATGTAAGAGCATCCACTATGGTTGCCTTGATGAGGGAGCACCGAAGAACCGGGGGAAAGTTGCTGAGAATGTGAGAATGAGAATTTTATGAGAATATGAGAATACCGAATTTCAAGTTAAGCATACTTACATGTCGTACGCATATGCTGAAAACGGGGGGGTGTAAGTCCAAAACCTTAACGTACAGCCTGCCCTCCGAGACCTTTCACAGCCTCACCAATTCCTCAGCGCCCCTTGTTTCATGCAAATTTTTTCCTCCAAAATTTTTTTTCGCATACTACTCGATATCTAATGCGCCAACCCCAATATGAATATGCCCACGCTGTTATCATCCTCCAGCTCATTCAGGCCATCCAACCCTCAAAGTCAAAAACTTGGAATCGCAATAGGATGGTTCCAACCCTCATAACCGCCTCTTACGTGATGGTCGACCCTCACCCTCACGCTCAGCTACCAGTACCTTGACTCGATGGTCTCGTCGGTCTAAGGTGCCCCGTGTGCTTCACCCCGTTGGTTTACAAGCGTGCCAATAAGGATTCGTGGCTGATCGGAGTGAGTGACGTCGATGTATCTCTCAGATAGTTCTCACATTCCGCCTGGACACTGATATGCTCTTCCTCAACGACCAGTGCCCAACGCCGTCAAACTCGCACAACTGGAAAACTTGGAGATGTGACCAACTGAACCACGAGATCGCCTTGATCAACCTTGGCGCGCCTAGGCCTATCATCTCGAACATGACCGAATGGGGTCCCCGGGTGTCACCGTATGGTCAGATTCTAGAGGACACACCGGCCGCGTCATCAGCTGCGTATAATCCCTATCCCAGCTCTCAATTGGCCCATTCATCCCCTACCCCGATGCCACGCTCTAAACCGATCTTGCAGTGCAAAAGGATGTTGGAAGGCGCCAAGTCTCAAAATCACAAAAATGCCGCCAACAAAGATTGTTTCTCACAATTCTGTCGGGGTGTAAGACAATTTCCTTTCTATATATGTAACAAATGTCCATACTCTTAGCCTGACATCGGTTGTTTCTATACTTCAAAGTGCTGTGTCGATTTTGGTTCACCACTTTGCCGCGTGCACCCACGGGCTTTGCCGAGGACACTTGCCAATAATCAACCCCACATCGAGCTGAACCAACCACACCACCTCCTAACGCACGCCAGCAGCACCCAGGCCCCCAATGCGATCTTGTCCAAGGGCCCTGCTTCCCAAGCGCGTCCACATCAGTGGGCGCAATCATCAAATTCCCTTGGTCGTCGGCTTGACGTGAATACTCATGCGATGCTCCAGCAAAATTGCGCCCAGCGGGACCAAGCTGCGACTCGGCATTCCATCAATCTCATCGATGAGAGAAAGATGGTAACTCTCTACTTATGGGTCGATGTAAGATTTTTTTCCATATATAATCTGCGATCAGAATGTTCCTCTGATCGCTTTGTACTGTTCCAGGAAACCGAAGCGCGCCCAATCACTGCACTGTTCCCTCAGTGGCCCACAGCTTGCCTGGACCAAAGTCCACTTTTGGTCCAGGCCGTAGTGAAAGTAGTTGGCCCCCAGTGGAATCAAGCGCTCACCGTTTGGGACACAGAGCTATATGCTTGGGTGAGTCCAGTTTATGCGATCCCGCCTCATGTTACAATCCAAGCTGATTCTGTTCACCGCGCAGCGGGAAACCCTTGTAACATATCCTCATCGTTACCAGAGCCATCTTCGCAGCTTGGTGGTGCGTCTGGCAAACGTGACAGTACCTCTCTCAGCAATACCCGAGGCCTTGCGCCCCCCTCCCCATGGCACAACTACCACACCACTGCCGCCTGATGCTTTCCGATCAACCACCGAACTGCCTCCAATTTGCGATATGCCTTCTTCCCCATTCAGCGCTAACCAAGCTGAAACTAATGGTTCTTTGCCTTCGGAAGATCACTTACTTCCAAACTCCTCACCCAATATGAAAATCCAAAGTCAGACCGGCAGTGAGCTGCAAGCACCCGATGATAAGAGCGACCGTTCGAGCGAATCCTCACCAAAAAGGCCAACTGCAATGACTGTAATTGATATTTCACAGTCACCGGACCTTCCTTCAAATAAAGACAGTGATGTTGAAGACTCAGCCACCCCCAGTGTGTAAGTATTTTCTTCAAGTTGAACCGGCTTACAAGCTCTATTTCTGACTGATTTTTCCAGCTCCCTGAAAAAACGTTGGCCAGGATCCAAGCTCCCGGTGTCCATCCTGCTTGCGTGGTACAAGGAGACCGCCCCAGGTAATGTCCAGCAAAAATGGTCAGAACGATTTGGTCGGCAATGGCGGTTGTGCCTTTCAACCGTTTACCAATATCATCTTTGGATCGCGGAGGTGGACCACGAAGTTATGGAGACACAGTTCCGATCTCAACCAAAAGCAACTGTAGGAGACGCTCGTAACCTTTACCAACAAGAATTCAAAAGAGTTGCAAGGCTCAGCAAGCAAGCGTCATAATGTCCTCTGGTATGCATGTCTTGATTCATTTTTGTTTGGGTGAGCTTGCTATTCGATACTGAAACCCTCTGTATCTATTGGTAATTAAGGGTTTTACTTTCAGGGTTTCACTTCTACATACCCTCATCGAATCATGTTTATTTTGTTTTAAAACACGCATGTGTCCAATGTTCAGGTCCAGGGGGAACTGATCTAATCTTTACTTACTGACCTGTACGGCCATGAGTCCCATCTCTGATTAAATTCATTTTGTAGTTGAAGGGCTTTGAAATGCATGGCCACTCACGCCTTGGCGCCTTGCAAAAATTGATTGCTTCATGTTTTGACGCACACCGCGGTAAGCCAAGCCGAGTACCTTACATGGTGTGCCACGCTGAAAATTTTGACTCAAAAGGGGCTCAGGTCAGGTGAAAGCGATCATTGTTCCTTTGATTCTTTCCCACCTTTTTTACTTTTTCTACACTTCCCTTTCAATTTTCTTGGTGATTATCATTCACCTCTTTCTGCTCTTCCTGTCATGCTCTTTAACATACCGAACAACCGCCCGATGGCGGTGACTACCATGACTCGGTTGGACTATGGCCATGCACCTTATCTCACCCAAAGTCTCTCCGACCGCAGCAAAAGGGCCGTTAAACGTCAGTCATGGCCTATTTATCCTGCCCTTATACCACGTCCTATCTAACTTCCCGCGATTCCAGGTCACTTCTTGACGACCCACTCAACCGGGAATACTGGCTGCCACGGCGTATTCGGCGGTGCGTCATCATTGCCATGACTTGTTGGCCACCAAACACTGACCCCCGATTTCCCAACTCAGTGCCAGTTCTTCCACCCATAGTTGCGAACAACGATATACGTGGTGCGCTTGGTGCCCAAGCTCTCAACCTGCCATTGATTCCCAAAAAAAGCAATGCCATGGTAACTCTCCGCCAGGACGTACATACCCAGCACTTTCATTACGATTCCAACCATGTCAAGGTCATCATGGGGCCCACCATAGTCAATTCTTGGGACTACTCAACGTACTCTGCCCAAATGGATTGCCCCGGTGGACACCTCGACATTGAATTACGCGAAATGACTGCTGACCCCGATGTTACCCCCGCTGAATCTGCTGGCCAATACCAGCGGCTCGTTCAGCAGGATTATTACGCCGCTACCCTGTTGGAACTGTTCAAGAACAAGATGAAGAGGCACGCGCCTCACCTTACCGTTCCGGAGGCCAACCTTGTGGCAATGACTCGGGTACGTCTCCAAAGTGGTTCTTTCTGAAAGCGCCCACATTGGCTGATATGGTTTATTGCTTCAGTTTGTCGAAAGCCATGTCCTATGCCGCCGTGACGCAAACACTCGTAATGATAAGACTTACCTGTTGCAAGCCCCAATCAATGTTCTCCACCTGCGCACCGCCACTTCAACAACCAGCTTTGAACCTCCAGAGCATGAAGGCAACAGTCCCATGGAAGATTTCTTGTATGCCTTTACACACTTTACGTATGAACACCACAATCGCCGCGCTCTACTGTATGGATTCCAAGCCACTGAAAACACCATATATTCGTCAGTCCTGCTGGATAGAGAGTATGTGTCCGTTCTTACTATATAAATAAGATCTTTCATTTCGTTCATGAGTCTAAACTACACCCTTTGGTTAGTTTCAAATGGCATGCAGAACGATCCTCGACCCCCCTAAAGTATTTTGCAGAAGA